ATTTCGTCCTATTTGGGACTCGTCATCTGGATGTACCTGCATTTCTCAGTGAGTGATGATGTTCCCACCGAGGCTCGAACCCAGTGCCCATAGTTCGACGGGAAAATCAAAAATTCAATTCAATAATTAATATGACCCGTTGCACAAGAGGTGGCTCTCGTGGCCCAAGTGGTCTAGTGGATAACGCTTTCGCGTTTGAAACTATGGGCACTGGGTTCGAGCCTCGGTGGGAACATCATCACTCACTGAGAAATGCAGGTACATCCAGATGACGAGTCCCAATTAGGACGAAATGCGCATCCTGGATTCCACTGCTAGCCACCATCCACCAATTGTATACAAATGATAAAATAAAGTTCATGAAAATTACTCAGTTAAATAAAAACAAAAGTACATACTAATGACCAATCATATTTAGATAGGTCACGTAGTCCAGGGTAGGCGAAGATTGAAGTCTATTGATTTTCGTATACACAGTTTAGGCTGTATGTGATTAATCCAAGGTGCTTCCATCACCTTCAATAACCTTGAATTAGAGTTATGTGAAATAATTGTGAAACAGTCATTAATATTGATTTTGTGACCAGACATTAATAAGTGTTTCGCAATGGATGATGCTGGATTTCTACTAAGATTAATCGCGTTAGGATTTTCGATATGATTTACTAGCTATTTTGGACATGACCTATCTAAATATGATTGGTCATTAGTATGTACTTTTGTTTTTATTTAACTGAGTAATTTTCATGAGCTTTATTTTATCATTGTTAACCATGCTAGCTGTAAAGCGGTTGTAAAGAAACTACGAAATGATATCATCTCGCGAAATTTGTCTTCTTAATGCCTTATTCAAATTCTTAACGACTCCGAAAAATTTCAGACGGAAAAAACTAAGAAGCATGCAACAATGTCATTTGAAAATAAAATAAATAAATGCCTCAAAGAACTCTTCATCAAGAAACTGATTGACAACAAAACTTACAATAAATTCAGGTCAAAAGGTAGACGCCTCCCATTTGTGTGCGGTCTGTCGAAAATCCATAAGGCCAATGTGCCCTTAAGATTCATATTATCAATGATAAACCCACCATATCACAAACTAGCTTGATGGCTACCTGATTCATTGAAGCCAATTCAACAGAAATTTGCAAATCATAGCTTGGATAACACCTTCCAATTTTCTAAAGAAGTCGACCGCATTGATATATCAAATAAAATAATGGTGTCATACGACGTGACTGCCTTATTCACAAATGTACCAGTGATGGAAACAATAGATATCATTTGTAAACAAACGGATCTATTGCCATTACGGGAAACAGAGATGAAATGCCTACTAATTCTTTTGCACAAAAGACACCTAGTTCAAATTCAACAATCAATTCTACCGAAAAATCAATGAGGTCGCCATGGGTTCACCTCTAGGACCTATTGAAGCCAATATCTTCATGAGTTATCTCGAAAAGACGCGGCTGAGTGACGACATCAATGAAACAACATATCGTCGATATGTCGATGATTCGTTTGTTGTTTGTAACGACATGAGTCAGGTATCCGAATTATTTGACCTCCTGAATGAGATCCACACAAACATTAAATTCACCATGGTATACGAACACAACGATGAGTTCAGTTTCCTGGACCTAAATGTAAAAAGAAGAAACTATGGAACGGTCGAAAAGTCCATCTACAGAAAAGAAACTTGGACCAGACAATACCTTCACTACAGCAGCTTCTGCCCTATGAGCTATAAGCGGAGGGGGGATTAGTAAGAACACTGTACTACAGGGCCAGGAAGTTATGTTTCCAGAAAAAGAATTAGGCTTTGTTGAAAAGTGCCTTAAGGAAAACGGGTATCCAAAAGGATTTATCCTTAAGTACAACAAAGAAAGAGATGAGAAAGAGAAGTACTCAACAGTTGAAAAGTAGAAAGTGTTCATTCGCCTCCCATACAAAGGAGAAACCGTATCGTAAAAGATTGAAAAGAGGATGAAGGGAGCAATAAAGAGATGCTTCCCTGCAGCCAATCTGGTGACACTATACAGCACTACATGCTCTATAAGCCAACCGAAACTGGATAAGTACCCTGCTGATGTTACCTCCAACTACATTTATGAATTTACGTGCACCTGCAGCAGCAAGTACATTGGAAGGACAGAAAGAAAGGCTTCTATCCGGTTTTCAGAGCATATTCCGAGAAACTTAAGCTTAAAAGGAAGCAGAAATTTACAAAGTGCAATTACCAGTCACCTTGTGGATACGGGTCATTTTGTCGAGATTTCTAAATCCTTCAAAATATTAAACATACAAAGGACAGCGAATCTACTACGATTTGCTGAAGTAATCGTAATCAAGCATTTCAGAACAAACTTATGCACACAGAGAGTGAAGTAACCATATCACTTTCATTACACTGATTAGTCATACACACTAGTGGGCTCAACTCACTAAGCAATTTTTCAAATTGATGAACTTTGACCTTCTTGAGCTGCCATGTTGAAGTACAAGCTAACACTGTCTATCAGATTTTTATGTTTCCTGTCTTCTCTCACCCTTCCCATCCTTTATTTCATAGTTTAATAGTATATAAATTGATGGTAACTTAAACTATAAATTGTAATACTTACATTCCGGATGCGTTCATCTTATAATGTTTCCTCTATTACCTTTCAAACATTGACGTATGAAATGTTATTATTTATAACCAATGTAGTTTCAGGTAGTTTGCAGCTGATGAGAACCTGTGAAATAGAATGATATCATTTTATACCGGAAGTCTGATCTTTCTTTCTTTGTCAAAATTTACCAAGGGAACCTAATGTATGGGATTATATCTTCTATTTAGGTCAGAAACTTGGCGAGTGTGTGTCACGAAAGGTATCTGCAACAGGCTACTGAAGGCTTTTACCAACAGCTGCCTAACGAAGGTCGAATGGCCAACAGCAAGAAACTCTAGGAGACAACTAACTAACCAACCAAGAATCTACTGCCCAACAAATACACCTAAGAAAATCGGGATATATCGAAGGTCACATGCTGAGGAGACTACTGAATGACATAGCGCGCCAGGCTCACGACGACAAGAGAAACGACGGGCAGCAAGGAAACAGACATAAGATGGACCCACACAAAAAGCTTGGAGGGTCTGGTCTTCGCCGATGATATATGCGTCTGATTTCTCACAAACTGTGCGTCGGTGGCACAGTGGTTAGGACTCTCGCCGACCATCCATATGGTCCGAGGTTCGATCCCCTGCAGACGCACACCTGATATCTATGGTCGGCCTGCAAAATTTGGGCTACCGATATCCATGCTGAAAATTCCATACTTGTACCAAAAATACAGTGTGGAATCAAGCTGTAATCAAAAATAAAAAGAATAAAAAAATATGCAAGTGAAAAGCAACAAGTTGTCAGAAGAAGCATCCAGAGAAGATGGGACTTCAAGTGGACATAGAGAAAACAGGGGTCGGTGATGAAGATTCCTGAGCAACACCACCAACAGCAACAACACACAACAATCAGCATAAATGGGAGGAACCTGAAAGAAACAACCTCCTTTACCTACCTAACTACATGGGAAGCATCGTTTCAACTACAGGCGGAACTGATGAGGATATCAAAGCAGCGAGGATCGATCAGGAAAGCAAGACCTCAAGTCTGTGTGAGGTCAACAGCACTAAGCATGAAAACGAATATACGATCCGAATTTTCAACTACAGTGGGAAGTCAATGCTACTATACGGATCAGAGACTTGGCGCATCATAAAGAGCACCTCAAACAAACTACAGACCTTCATCCACAGCTGTCTTCGCCCAATACTCAAAATCAGATGACTGGCCAGAAAAGATCAGCAACAGGGAACTCTGGCAATGAACGAACCAACCAGGAACCGATTGTGCAACAAATAAGCAGGAAGAAATGGAGATAGATTGGCCATACTCTGAGGAAACCATCGAGTGGAACCCGAAAAGGAAGCGGCGAGTTAGTCGTCAGTGCAAGGGTGACTTGGAGGAGATCATATGAAGAGGAGATGAAAACATCTGGGTTGCAGACTTGGAGCCAAGTAAACACTCTAGCAGAGAACCGAACGCAATAGAGACGCGTGGCTTAAGCCTTATGTTCCTCTAGGAATAAAAGCAAATAATAATAAATAATAACATATCTATGTATAATCGATAATTTACTTATAAGACAGAAGAGTTAATTTACATTGGAAGAATGTGTACAGAACAACACACCTAGAGGCAAATATATAGCTAACTGCAAAAACAAGACATACATTTACTATTTTAAATTAAGCATACAAAAAGAAAACCACACTATGAAAAAAAAGAACAGAAAAACACAGACTGCAAAAAAGTAAAAGAAAAGAAATAAACAAGCACATATTGCAATCGTACAAAATGGAATGAATCATAACCTGGAAGTTGTTTTTTTTTACTTTTTCTACTGTGGTACAAAAACAATGATTAGTAATCAAAACAGAGGTAATAATAATAATAATAGTAATACTAATAACAGTAACAGCAATATACAACATCAATGTATCCTTTAAAAAGCAATAACGAAATAATTTACATCATAGTGTAGTGTGAAAACAGAATAAACACCTATGGACTACTACTGGCGGTTTAATATAATCAACCTGACAAGTGTATGTGTATGCATGAATGCATGTGTATAGTGTAGTGAGTAGTATACATCAATTAATAAGTAGTATTAGACATGAATCAAAAGAAAACAAACAACTAAAGCATATAAAAAAATTGTTCAACCAAAAAAACAAGAATTTTAAAAAAATGTATATTAAAGTTTGTAGAAAACAGACAAATAATAATAAATAATGGTGTTCGTGATGGTGGTAAGACAAGACAAGCTGGAGGAATTATTTTTCTATCAAAAAACACGGGTATCCATTGTTTGTTTGTTTGTTCGTGTGTGTGTGTGGGGGGGGGGGGTAAGTGGGTGGCTGTATTTTGATTGTGCTTTAATCGAATTTATGATTCAGCTTCTAAACGTTCAGCGTGAGAGGAATTAGTCATTTTTAAAAATTCCATTAACATTTCATTTTCATTGGCCTCAATAAATTCTTCATAATCCTGTAAAAGAGAAAGAATAAACACAAGCACGATATTATGTATATGTTTTATCTGTCTATCTATCTGTTTGTCTGTTTTCGACATAGAACTTTGCATTGATGTGCGAGGCAGTTCAAGTCGCTACACTCCCTCCATGTAGCACACAAAGCAAGAAAAAATGTGCATAACAGAGACAGTAAACAGAGGTGTGAGACAAAGGAATAGTTCTAAAGAATCATAAGTCTCAAGGAGTGGATGCATCTGCGCCATCACTGAAAACGATTTTGAGTCATATCACCAATTGTTTCCAGCCTTCATTGGTTTTTACCGTCCCGAGAACCCCAACCAGTCAGGATATCTACACCTTCCTACGTGGCTGGCTTAAACTAAATGTTGTAGATTTCATTGACTGATGAAGGCATGTTTTGGTTTGACCACCGCTAGCTCTTTTCCAGCCTGTCCCTGTGTCAGCTAACATTGCCCGCCGTCGAGGAACGCGATGACTAGGCATACGTAACACATAACCTAGCCATCTCAGTCGATGTAATTTCACAGCCTCGTCGATTGATTTCCCCTCCCACCTACCTAGCACTAGACCGATACCTCGCCTCAATATTGGTCACCATATTATACCAGTTCACGCGGGAAATAGAACGCAGGCGCCTATGATCGAAGACAGCTAGCCGGGCTTTTCATGCCTTCCACTCTCAATGGCCAGGTCTCACAGCCATAAACGAGGACGGAGCGGACTGATGAGCAGTACACCAGCCCTTCAGTAGACAGCCAGCCGGATATCACGTCTACGCCAGAGACAGCGTAATCTGGAATATGCGAAACTAGCCTTCTGTATCCGTACTCAGCTGAGATTTCATCAGAGATCAACCCATCGGAGCCGGCTGATGGTACTTCCCAAATAAGTGAAGCGGTCGACATGTTCTACCACTTCACTTCCTATTTTTAAACCAGGCGTCGATATAGTCCAGTCCTGTAACATCATCTTACATTACGCGGGAGCGAATCGCATGCCAAACATTCGTAGATTGCTGCTCAAGGTGTTCAGAAGACTCTGCATTTCGTCGGCGTCTTCGCCTGGAAGGGCTATATCGTCTGCATATTCCAAGTCAACGAGATTATTCCCTGGTAACAAGTCAATCCCTGTGTCGCTGAAGTGAGTTAGGATTAAGTCCATTAGTACATCCATGATGAAATTGAACAGAAATGGGGATAATGGGCATCCTTGACGGACGCCACTAGTCGTCACCATTTCAGATGACAACTCGCCGTAAGCCCTCACCTGGCTGCATGAATACGAGTAGAGTGCCTTAATCAGAGCAATGTATTTTCTCGGCATTCCCTTTACAGCCAAGTATCACCAGAGTACCTCTCGGTCGACAGAATCGAATTCCGCCTTTAGATCAAGAAATATAATGATTGTTGGACGCTATATTTTATCTAGACAGATATGTGTGGAACCAGCTATCAACTATATTATGTTAGCTCAGGAGGTAATATCATCTGAAGAACCACTGAAAACTCCTATGCGACACCGGACAGCTATTTCCTGCTAGTTTGAGAATCTCCAGAAGTACAAAGCCATAATAACATCATGGATCAAACTGAAGAGGGTAGAATCCAATGGCTTTTAAATTTCAACCTCCACCATGAATTTGTGCTTCTGAAGAGACTTAGACTATGACAAAACAACTGTTTAATACTCTCTGATTTTTTATACTTCTCTAGCTGATCCAACGGTGGGACCAATGTAGAAACAAAAATAAAACTTTCAAGTATTGGTTTTTTTTAGGGACTTCAAAACAAATGCTTGAAAATCGATCTGATGTTCACTAGTGACTGGTGGCCCTATTCATGCAGTTAACCTGAGGTTCTAGTGGGAAGCCATGACTAGTAGGGTGCAGCAGGTCGGGTGTGAGGACAAATACTCGCCGAAGACATTGGCTAGTGGTTGCGCTATATCGTGATTTGGCAGAAGTTAGAATTCATGGGCTGGCTATTGGATCGGGTCCCAGTGGCTTATTGGTATACGAGCTCGCCTTGTAACCAGAAGCTCCGGGGTTCGCACCCCTGTGATGGGTGCGTATTGCTGAAGAGTCTCAAACTAGGCTAACGAAACAGCTGTCCAGTACTCCCTGATGGTCTTCCAATGCTTCTCTAAATGATGGCAGCTCATACTGAAATCCTCCAACCAATCGAAAATAGAATTCCTTCAAGCTAATCAAATGCTCTCTAATGACTGAAAACGCGATGAAGTTGCCTGTGATTCTGATGAGAAGTCGAGACCAGTGGGGTCCACCAAGTTAGGTATGAGGAAATATACTTGCCCATAACATTGGCTGAAGACATTATTTTACACTACAATAAAGGGATATTAAAATTTATTCTTAATAACCTTCCTTCACGTTCCCAGTGGAACATAGGGCCTCAAGCTAGTGGCTTGAAGTTTCTGTAGCAGTGTTTAATTTTACAGGATGGGGTTGCTAGCCTCATGCCCAACCTTTCATCTTTACCAGTATTATTTCTGGCTTGGCGACGTAAAGGAGTGCGTCGGCCGGGGATCGAACCCCGGACCACGTGCATGGTCGACAAGCGTCCTAACCGCTGTGCCACCGACGCACTTCTTAATAGCCAGCAACTCAAAAACTACTGGTGCGGATTTTTCACTTGTTTCATAATAATTAACACTACAAAAGTATAACAAGATCAATTTGCCAAGATTAAAACTGAGTGTGAGCAGATGGGTATTTTGTAACGGGAATAAAAACGTTCCCAGAAGCACACGACCAAAATTTCTAAAAACAATCTGACGCGAACTAAGTAACCAATGGTCATTTTCAAGTAAATATGCATTCACCTAGCTGTTGAGTCTAACTAACGGTAATTTTGCTTTTTATAATGCTCAGCAGTTTGACTAATCACTTTTCGGCTAGTAATAATATCAATCTAATGTGAGACAGCGTCGGTGGCACAGCGGTTAGGACGCTCGCCGACCATGCACATGGTCCAGGTTTCGATGCCCGGACGAAGCAGTCCTTCACCTCGCCAAGCCAGAAATAATACTGGTAAAGATGAAAGGTTGGGCATGAGGCTAGCAACCCCATCCTGTAAAATTAAACACTGCTACAGAAACTTCAAGCCACTAGCTTGAGGCCCTATGTTCCACTGGGAACGTGAAGGAAAGGAAAAAATTGTGAAACAAAATAATGAGGACTTCCGTGATATTCATCAAAAGAATAAAATGATAGTCATTTTAATTCACAGGACTTCTATTTGTATTCTTTGTGTTCCTTCCCCCCTCGCTCCCAGTGGAACACACAAAGCTTCAAGTTTTGTTGCTTCAGTAGTGGAGATGACAACTTTGCTAGCTTCACACACTCACTCAACCCTCCACCTTTTCTAGGTGGTGAAGCTCAAAAGTGCATACAGCAGGAATCGAACCCAAACAATGTGCATTCTAACAATAAAACCACCAACGTGCCGTTTGTGAAAATGAAACACACTTTAACAGCTACTTCTAAGAAATGTCAGTTTGTTGAAAAATCAAAACTTGGAAACAAGTCATTCAGCATCATTAAGTGAGAGTATACTGCGTGACACCTAATGGAAACTATCCGTCTGCTTACATTGTGATTAAAAACAGTACTCCAGTGGATAACAGTTTGTAATTTCTAGTTGAGTTCTAGGACTGAATCGTTATATGAAAAAAAAACAATCACGCACATTGATATAATTCTACATAATAAATACCGAAACTTTCTTAATGATACAACTCCTTACAACAAGATATTATCAAGTTATTAGTTTCTTACTTAAGGTGATATGAAGACGTCTGTAAAGTCTTTTTAGAAAACCAAATGGCTGGACTTTCATTTTTTTTAAGCATCCTCTTTATTTGGGGATTCTGAGACCGGAAAGTACGATATGCTTCTGTGTGTACCACTTTACAGTGTCTTTTCATTTGAGAAGACATCTACTTATTAATTGCCAACTAGGAAATATCTCTAAATCTCTATATAATGAAAGTGTCATTTAAAAAAAACAATATTAGATAGTTGGAGGCGATCAGCAGGAAGCCTTGCGCGAACTAGGTTTCGTGCTATTGGCACTCGTCAGAAAGGCGTATCTGCAACCACCTTGAAGGAACTCATATCCCTTCTGAGATTCGAACCCGCGTCACCCAGTGCTGCCTGCAGTCGGAGATGTTACCACTACGCTATTCAGGCTGGTTAGCGATTGACCTCCTGTAGGACTGTAGTGAGTACTTACATTGGGCACTGGTTATTAGCGTGACGTGTCTAGTACTTTCTTTCTTAACTTTCCTAACTTAAAAGCCCTAACAGTATGAGAATAAAAACTATTCATATCAGTTTCTCTAAGAAAAATGTACGAAGGATAATTACGTAACTATGCACATTTCGTTCATATCATAAGCTACTGGTTATCTCTCATTTACAATGTGCTAAAACATTACTACATCACCACTACCACGAATCGACAGATTATTGAACCTCTTAACATATGGACAAAATTTAACTTTTTAACAAGTGAATAATTGTTGTAAAAGTGATTGCAATTTCAAGGATATAAAAGTAAAAAAAAAAGTCGGAAAAATGTTCTATCAATCGTGTCACTGCGGTTTTCTCACGTGAGAAAAACAATCATCACTAATTATTCATGCGTTATTGGTGAATATACTCACTATCTTTCCCATAACAATATTTAAAATCAAAAAATAAACAATTAGTCGCCAAAAAAACGTATAAAATTCTTTCATCGTTGACAATACTTGAAGTCTTACTGCAACTTTCTACGTGAGATTAAATGAGGGCGTAATTTTCGTTTTACGGTACACATACCAAAACTTTCACACATAAAATTAGCTTAAAGAATACGACAATTTTAGCTATACCCTAAAGATATCGAGTGTTTTCCATGGTAGAGGTGACAGAAAAGGTAAGGGACCAAAGTATGATTTTGAACACGTGGATAAACTTTCATCCAAGTTGACAAAAATCAGTAGGGAAACATAACGCCAAGACCCCTTATTAAATTGAAAATGTTGAGCTGGATAGATATTGAGGCTAATGAAATAAAACTGCACCATAATATTTTTACATCAGATCATCAACTACAAGTCAGGTAATAAGGGGCGATAATATTCCCTTGTTTATGCCAAAGTAAGGGAAACAGAATTTCGACTTCGGACTTAATCAGTGAAGGCTTAGAGACTAATGTCATGTTAAACCTGAAAAATTGAATGTGAAGATAAATTATTGGTCCCACTAAGACCATAAATATATTATAGTGGCTTAAGGGAAATAAACTTGTAAACACCGAATAAGCGGTCATAAGCGAACTATTAAAACAGCAGTTACTTCCAAAATTCATGGCAAGTACATGCAGAAATTAGACCTTGATAAGACAAACTGAAAAGTACAACGAAAAAGTATGCTCTTACCCCAAGATACTCTGTTCCAAGAAAGAGTTGGGGAGCTATTGGGGTCTTTCCGTTTTCCTTTAGAGTTTTACACATAAACTGTTTGCTAGATTCTGAAGATGAAATATCCTTGACTTCGTAGGGAATCTTTGCGGCGGAGAGGATGTTCATTATATACTGTTGTCTACTTTTGACCTGTCAAGACTAGAATCATATACATATTAAACATACGTTTGTATTCCCAGAAGTAGATGATATATAAACTTCAACAACCATAACTGTTGATGGATCTTTTGTTTAACCGTTATTCAAATTGTTTTGGCAGTTTGGTGTAGAATTAAGAGTGGCTGCAGCGATTTCCTTACGAAAGGAAAGATTCTAAAACAAAATTATCTCTTTAAAAAAATTTTCACGGTAGTGATAAACGAGGGTAGAATGAGCAATGGCGGACAACAACATGGATAAAAATGGGAAAGAGTAATTACAAAGATTTTGGAGCGAATCAAGAATCATATTTCGCCCACGTCTTAACCAATCAAGAGCGTCCACTTTGGCTATGTTTTCTCCTCGTTACTTATATGCGTCCTCCAACTGAGCAATATCCAATATCCAATATCCTGATGACGAGCTAGTATAAACCAGTGATAGAATTGTATGCCTGCACAAAGGACATACAAAGCACTTACATCCAACAATAAAACCAACCAACAAATTAAACGATGTGAAGACAAACTGATAAGTTTACCTGGTAATCAAAACGAAAAGTGCAGTGACTGGAATATGAATATGCGCCCGAAAGTTTCAGTATTCCGCCAGATGAACGACCTTGATGCATTCATCATCGTTGTCATGACAGTTTACTGAAAAGGGTATCAATTTTGGTTACTATCAGTTCACTTCAAAAATTCCACGAATAACGTCAGCATAATATATGTACAATAATACTTCTGATAGTGCTAGTCTTATCTTTCGTCAACGGGCAAACGTCTAAACCACAGATGAACATATATATACAAGAAAAAGTAGTGGAATAATGCCAGTAAGCATGCCTTATATGGGTGAAAACAATATAAAGATATTATTCTAGGCGCCGTTATTTTTTGAATTTGTCATAAACGTGCGTAACAACCAAGAGTGCGTCGGTGGCACAGTGGTTAGGACTCTCGCCGACCATGCACATGTTCCGGGGTTCGAGCCCTCTCCGACGCACACCTGATATTTATGATCGGCCTGCAAAATTTGGGCTACCGATATCCACTCTGGAAATTCCATACTTGTACCAAAAATACAGTGTGGAATCAAGCTGTAATCAAAAATAAAAAAATAAAAATAAATAAAAATAAAAAGTTGTGTCATATGTGGCTGATATGGTGCGTTAGTCACGAATGTATATAAATGGCTCGTAAAACGTCAGTTAGTCTACTGACAATAATATTTTCAGCAATATCATCTGCAAGCGACTCACCAATGCTGTTAGTATTCAGTTAAACATGAAAAGAAGTAATAATGAATAATCATCATCAGCGGCCGGTGGATTTTTTAATTCACTTCCAATATCCAATATCCTGATTACGAGCTAGTATAAACCAGTGATTTCTTTGAGCTCGCTTCTTGATTGTGAGGTAGAGGTTCCAGATCTTCGGTGAGCTTCTGCGTAGTAAGTCCCGACACTCGACTGCTTTAGCTCTGGTAGACTCCAGGAGGAGTGGTGCGGGGATTGGTCGAGATGTGGTTTGTAGTATGCAGTATGTTAGGACTGTATTGCTGCCGTGAATGGAGTTTGACCTAACTCCCGTTGGTCATTCGGTGTAGTCATAAAAGCAGAATAGTAATAATAAATAATAATAATAGGTTGTAGTGTAGATAATATAGGTTGAGATAAGTGGAATAATAAAGGTGACCTAAGGAAAAGATAGAGTGAGAGAAGGCAGAATAGGTCGTGGGGATTTAGTTTGTACGCTTATCATTGACAGTGTGGTTTCAAATTTTATGAGGATAAGCCATTGAGACACAAACCTTGCATTTCTGCATGATTGTCTAGCTTCCGCTTAAAAATCTCCAGAGATGGCGCTGTAGTCACGGCCGCCGGTAAAGCGTTCCAGAGACGGCAAACACGAAGCGAAAAGAAATGTGATCGCACTCGAGTCTTTGGTCTCTGGTGTGCTATCCTTAGCGGGTTACCTCGTGGAAGCCTATAATCGCTTAATGGCAGGATGCTTTTATTTGGGTGGGCCTGGTCATTTAGGATCTTGTAGACGGTGATGAGGTCTCCCCTGTGCCTACGGTAACTAAGTGTGAAAAGACCTAATTTCTTTAGTCTTTCCTCATATGATTTGTTGCGGAGGCCGATCACCCATTTTGTCGCTCGTCTCTGGACACTTTCTAGAATGTTAGCATCCCTTTTGAGTAGCGGAGGTGCAATGATATTATGCACCTCAAGGTGTGGCCTCACATATGCCTTGTATAGCCTTAAGAACAGTTCGGGAGTGAGAGCTCCCAGCTGCCTGTGCATAAAGTGTAATGTTGCGTAGGCTTTGGCGACGTCCCTCGAGTAATTTCCACTGGTGTCTAGCTTTTCTGTTAGAATAAGACCTAGATCACGCTCTGATGGAACACAACTCAAGTTCTGGCCACCAAGGGTGTAATTTACACTCTGTGACCTGCCGGAATGAAGCTGCACTACTTTGCACTTCTTTAGATTGAAAGGCATTCCGTTAGCCAAAGCCCAATTTCCCAGAGTTTGCAGGTCAGCCTGCAATCTATCTGAGTCTTCCGATGAGTTTATTGCTCTCCAAATCTTTACGTCGTCAGCGTAAAGAAGCGCAGAGCAGTTTAGTTGGGGGGCAGGTCATTGATAAAAATCAAAAACATCAACGGCCCTAGGATAGAACCCTGAGGAACCCCTGATGCCGAGGTGTGCCAGGATGATCGGATGCGGTTGACTTTGGTGCAGAATTCTCTCTCGCCTAAGTAATCTGTCAGCCATGCGAGAAGTGCTCCAGAAACTCCCGCCTTGCCTATTTTGTGAAGGAGCAGACCATGGTGAACTGTGTCGAATGCTTTCGCAAAGTCGAGAAAGATCACGTGGGCTGGTACCTTTTTGTCCCAGGATAGTGTCCAATCGTTCCAGGCTAGTAGAAGATTCGTCACGCAGGATCTTCCCCTCCTGAAACCGTGCTGTGCTTCGTGAAGAAGGTTAGTCCCATCGAAGTATTTTCTCATGTGGTCGTCAATGAGACTTTCCAATATCTTCGATACCACTGGAAGTAGAGCAACTGGTCTGTAACTGGTCACATTCTGCCGGTCACCACCCTTGAAGATAGGGGATAGGATTGCACGTTTCCATTCACATGGAAGTTTCCCTACATCAAGGGAGTGTTGGAACAGATCACTTAGGGGTTGACAGAGACTTTCTGAACACTGCTTCAGGACAGATGGTCTGATGCCATCACAACCTGGAGACTTTCCCGAAGCCAACCTTCCCAATTTTGCAAGTACCATAGCCGGGGTAATTTGAAATGTCCCCAGCAGGTTTTCGTGTGTTGGTTTTGCGATGTAATCTGGATGTTCTGTAGGGGTAATATCCTCGTTACTATTTAGTTGCCTGTGAAAGGCTAGGCTGAATGTCTCTGCCATTTCAAGACTAGTAAGAGATTTCCCATCAGAACCCACTAGATTGCATGCTCCCTGGTTGGTCGGTTTTCTTTCGGCCATAAACCTGTATAGGCTTTTGGGGTTCACGAGAAGCTTATTGGCGAGGTCTCCCTGAAATGTCCTTCTATCGCTCCGGACTCGTATGTTACATCGATTCCTGAGTTCAAGGTACACTTCATATTCGGGTTGACTCTTCGATCGTCGCCACGCGAACCAGGCTTTTCGCTTTGCCTGCAGAAGGCGTTGTGTCCCCTTTTCAGCCATGATCGTTGCTTCCTAGCTTTTGGTGAGACTAAAGGAACAGTGTCTGAGACCGCCTGGTGAATGATTTCCTTTACCACTCTCCAGTGTTCTTCTACTGTTAGCTCTGTCCATTTTTTAGGCCAGTTTGCTTCAGACAGAAGTCTTCGCATTTTGGTGTAGTTGGCTTTGTTATAACACAGATAGGGCTGTGTATTGTCCCACTGTAAGCGCTCGCGGAGGACTATGTCGAATACTATGACCGCGTGGTCACTACTACCTATGGGAGTCGTGATCTGAACGTTTTCCACTAGTAGCTGGTCACTAGTGAGCACGTAATCCAGTCTAGAAGACTTCCCATCAGGGCCCCATCTAGTATCCATCTTGACATTTTCAGTGAATCCAGCCTTCCTGATGGTATGCAGCAGATTTCGATCAAATCTATCATGGGCTTTTCCCGACACCAAGTTAAGAGATGGGGCATTGAAGTCACCAGCTATGACAATTTGATCATAACCCATGTCTTGAGTTGCTGAGATTGTATTTAGCAGTACCTGGTTGTGGTCTGCTCCACATGAAGGTGATCGATAAATGCTGCCCACTAGATATTTGCAGTACCCAACGGTGAAGTGGCACCATATGGAGTCAGGGAGCTCTGTGAGGGGAGGGTCCATCGCGTGAACACATCTGAGCTGTTTGTCGACGTATATGGCGACTCCACCTCCTTCTTTCAGGTCCCTATCTCGCCTGACTAGGACCATATCATTTATACTGACTTCGCTGTCTGCCACCGTAGGGGTTAGCCAGGTTTCCGTCAGTATTATGATTTTGGAGTTTAGTTGTGATTGTAGGTGTCTAAGTTCAGCTATTTTGCCTCTTAGCCCTCTCACATTACTATACAGGCAACTGGTAGTCAGTCTCACCACTTCCCCGTATTGGGGGGTAGTTGACTTGATATTGGCTATCGGTTGAGGAGTTATCCTACGAACTAGTTGGCCGATTCCCCAGGAACCGGCCTGTTGGCGTTTTTTTCTTCTAGTTCAGTTGGAGCACTCGGATGACACTGGCTATCATCGTCCGTGCTGCACCGCTGTAGTGTGACTAGGGGTTGAGGATTTTCTTTTACTACGCTTTGTTCTCTCCTTTGAGTGCGAGGCCGGCTCTCGCAGCAGCGAATGTGTTTGCTGACCTTGTCCTTGGTCTCGTACCATCTATGGAGAGCGGTATTCAACTGGTCTTGGGAGCTGAACTTGACAGCTAACAGACGTGGCGAGTTAATTGACATAAGATGAGTGGGTCGAGGCAGTCTATAAATAGAGACAGCCCCTGAACTTCCCAGGGCCATCTGGGATGCTAACCATCTCCATTGTTGTACATCATGA